CCCTATCCATAGGTTTCTTCACCTCCTTCCACCTTACCAAATGATATTTTCTACAACCATCATCATAATCGCAAAGGAATCTACATTGGATCCTTTCAATCTTTGAAGCAATGCTAACCGAGATAGTTAATATAGAAAGATAGTAGATTGGGAGGTTAGACAAAGTACTCTTGATTAAGGTAAGCCTCCCCCCTTTAGACAAAAAACTCCTCTTCCAACCCGCAAGCCTCCTCTCAACCAACTCCACAATCAGGTCCCAAGTTCTAACATCTTTAAATTTCACCCTAAGAGGAATCCCAAGATATTTGATGGGCAGCAAAGTGATTTTACAGCCCAACATCCTAGCCATCTCTAACTCATCCCTCCTATCCCCCATCCTAACCATTTCCGTCTTTCTCATATTGATTCTCAACCCGGATGTCATTTGAAAACAAATTATTCATTAATAGCTAATTGATCAAATTTTGATTCTGTAAAAACAACATTTTTGTTAAGAGGATTAAAAATATAATCATGTAAGAATTAATTACGAGAACAAAAAAATAAAATGTATTGCTAAAGAAAAATAGACTCTTCTACTAATAAGACTAAGGGATGAAATTAAGTTTGCCACCACTTGTGCTGTTTTTTTAACATCATAAAACCAGTTCCTTCCAGAAGCTAAGAAGAGAAAGCATCAAATGTTAACAAGCAATGACTGAATAAATTTTGATCCCACAATATTACCCCCTATCCCCCATCCTAACCATTTCCGTCTTTCTCATATTGCTAGCATTAGTTCTTAATTCAATCTTGATTCATATACTATAGCTATACCCTGGTGGCATCGTCTATGTAGCTTAAAGTACTTTTTTTTTAAATTAATGTAGCTTAAAGTCCTTTACACCCTCCATGGCGTAGTCTATGTAGCTTAAAGTACTTTTTTTTTTAAATTAATGCAGCTTAAAGTACTTTACACCCTCCAAATAAGATTTATTAGGAAAGTTGCTTTAATTTTGGTTTTATCAATAGATGGCTAGCATTAGTTCTTAGTTCAATCTTGAATCATATACTATAGTTATACTTTGATGAATGTTGCATTGGCAGTTGAGCTTTGAATTAAGTTGCACCACTTATGTCTTTTTGAATGGTTTTTGTGTTTATTTGGAGTAGGTTGGTGTGTCCTTGTACAAATCTTGTTATGCATGGTGAAGTGTTTTTTCATTTTGGTTTCAGATAACTGGAGTGTGAAGGCTATTCGGCGAAAGACCACCGGAACTGGGCGCATGAGGTACCTCCGCCATTTGCCGCGCAGGTTCAAGAGTAACTTCAGAGAAGGTATATTACTTTACTTGCCATGGCAGATCATTGTTGCCTACTTATTTCATATTTATAATAAATTATTTTGTGTTTTGATTAGGAACTGAAGCTACTCCAAGGAACAAGGGAGCAGCTGCAGGCTCTGCATAAGATCTGGAAGATTTGAACGAGCGTCTGGTTTATATTCTCAAGCGATTTTAGATCATTTTTTAATCTCATTTTGGAGAGTTGCAGACTTATAATTGGTCAATTTTGATCTTATGGTACTTATTATTAGTTGAAAACATATGTGAATTGTAGGAGATCCTCTCCCAGAAATTTGATAGAGTTATTCTGAATGATCTGGTTACAAGGTAATATTGTGGAATCAAAAGTTATTCAGTCATTGCTTTTTAACATTTTATGCTTTCTCCTCTTAGATTCTGGAAGAATCTGGTTTTATGATGTTAAAAAACCGGCACAAGTGGTGGCAAGCTTAATTTCATCCCTTAGTCTTATTATTAGAAGAGTGTTTTTCTTTAGCAGTACATTTTGTTTTTTTGTTCTCCTAATTAATTCTTACATGACTATTTTTAATGATCTTAACAAAAATATTGTTTTTACTATTATAGCTATTCAAATAAATGATAATAAGATATATCGGATTCAGGGGATTACATTTTTTCTTGACAATACTGCTAAGAATCAACTTTTCAAAGCTCTAATTCCACAGGAGATAAACCGTTTAATACGGTTACCTCAATATCTGATAGAATTGTATTTGGAATGTCAAAAAAACTTTGCAACTTGAGAAATCCCAGCCAAACCATCAAAATTGTTCAGGATTTTTTGAGGAAAGAAAAATGAACAAGGTCGCATAAGATTTTCAATATAAATCCTACTGGATGACCAAAAATAGTAGGGAAAGTCCTCCAATAAACAAGGGATAATATCATAGATCAGTTAGAAAGCTGATGTATCTCTAACACACTAAACTAGATTGGATTTGCAGTAAATATTGTAGTAAACCACTGAACAATATTTATGAGTTGTGAATCGAATTCTTTGATACTTAAAATGACACCAAGAAAATAATTATTCTTTGGAAAAATCACATAAAAAGATTTAGAAATATTCACTGATGCTGACTCGGCAAGATCTGTCAGGGACAAAAGATCAAGTTCTGGATATGGCTCATATGTGTGGGGAAATTTAATAACATAGAAAGCAAAAAACAACTAATTGTAGCTTGAAGGAGCATTGAGGTAGAATTCAGGGCTATGATACTAGGAATATGTAAAGGAATGTGGCTTTCATCTGTATTGAAGGAGTAATAGATTGATAATTCTACTCCTATAAATTTGTTATGTGACAATCTATCTGCAATCAATATTACAGAGAATCCAATTCACCATAATCAAACTAAATATGTCGAGATAGATCGATATTTCATAAAGGAGAAAGTAGAACAAGAGATAATCAATGTGGTACACATTTTGTCCAACAACAAACAACATACACACTGACCAAGGTCTTGCCAAGAAAGAACTTTTGAGGAAAAGTTTCCTAAACCTTTTAGAAGTATATTTTCTGTTCTATTCTTGGGGAAATACTGATTATCCAACCCTATAAATAATGTAATAGTATAGAAGAAAACCATAGAATACAATTTACAGCTTTCTTCAGCAATGTACAAATCTTTATATGCTTAGTTCATGAAAGTTTCGGTGTTAGCAACAATTTTGAATTCTTGGTAACTTACTAGAGAGATGATCAACAAAATCATGCCTATCAGGGGATAGATGGCTTGGTTTTGCTTGTGCACACATTTTTCTTTACTTCCATCAATATTTAAGCCAATAGTTCCTCAATTGAGCCATGTGCAATAGTATCTCGTCACGGCCTTGATTGGTCACGCTGCTCGTCATGATCCATGGTGGTGCTGTCTGGAAAAAACCACGTATCAACTCCTGAAAATCCTTCACATTTTCCTCTGGCCTTTTCCCGCCATTCTTTTTCTTCTTCCGTTTATCACATTTGGTGAAGATGAGTGTCATCGGAATCTAACAGGAAAAAGAAAAAGAAAATAATACTTTAAGAGCAGCCTAAACATGCCACAGTCACATCTCTCTCTTATTCCTTACCCCTTTTTGTCCAAAAAATTTTATTCAAGATAAAGATGTACGCTCCATATGATTGTTACAAAGAAAACTGCTTTGAAGGATTGAAACCTGGCACAAGGTTTTAGACACATGATTTAGTATTGTTATGAAGAAACACATTTACCTGATTCTGGCCCAGCCAACTAGCATATTCAAGATCAATCTTCTTGGCAGGAATGCTAGCATCTATTAGAAGAAATACTGAAACTAATGTTGACCGCTTGAGGAAATAGTCTTTGGTAAACTTGTCCCAGTCTGTCCTAAGTTCCTGTGGAGCAGCTGCATACCTGTTCAATGTCCAAAAGATTATTATAGGCACCTTCTGGTCTGAACAAGTCGTATCAGCCCCTAAAACTCTCAAAAGATATTTCCAGTTTCAAATGAGACAGCTATATTTATATTCTACTATAGGAAGAGGGACTGGTACCATGACAGCAAAAGGATAGACAAAAACAATTACTTGGCAAGAAAATGCAGTGAACAGTTCTCCTAAGAACTTTTGTGATTCCTCTATAACCAATCTTGAATTCATCAACTTTTCTCAAAGTCTGATTAAGTTGGACAAATGTTTGGTGAGTTCAGACTTTTTAAAGACACTAGAATTTGACTGGGTTCCAAAATTCCCTTGGTAACTGACATGAATGCAAACTGAATGGTTGACAGAGAGCGAAATCAGAGATTTCAGCATGTTTATGCATTCAGGACAAAAATATATATACATAAAGCCATAGAAGCTCAACAAAAGGGTATAAATTAACAAGATAGTTCAACCAAGTTACAGAATCCAGCAAACATTTGGAAAGAAATCATGCTAGTTTTTAGCATATACATCAAAATAAATAGATGGAACACCAGAAGCACACATGAACCATAAGGTTTAAATCTTACCCATATCCAGGCAAATCCACCAAATACCAATTATTATTGACCCGAAAATGGTTGATGCACTGTGTCTTTCCTGTGAAACATAAATACGGAAATATGTGTCAGCTAAAAGTTCTTTGTTGAACTAATGCTAAAATACCAATCAAACAAACTTATACAGGAACAAGTTCATTTCATTTTTTATTTTATTTTATTTTATTTTTTACAGAAGAAGAAGAAATTTGCATTCCAAACAGCTGCCAGCCGAGAGTTGGTGTGAGCAAGTGCAATCATGAATCAATCTTCCATAGATAAGATGGTCCACACCTTCAAAAACTCTTCTTTTCCTTTCCTTCTACAACCCACTTAACTTACTAGACTAGAGACTTGGGACATTGCAAATTTCAGCACACAGAGGCACCACAAAGCTCAAATCTTTCTAACAAAAGATATTGAAAAAAAAAAACTGCTTTCCGAGCTATCATAACATTTATTGTAGAAGCTTCTGTATTTAAAACTATTAAAAACATATTTTAGCTCTGACTTCAACCAAAACATTTTGATTTCAATCGTTTGGCTAAAAAGGACTTTCCAAACTAAGAAATTGCAGAAGAAGTTACAAGCCAAACACAACCTAAATAACCCAATTAACAGATGAAGATAAACTCCCCTTCAATGTTTTTTCTTTTGCCAAAGAGCCTCAAAAGCAAACTTGACTTATTGGCAAGAGGAAAAGAAGAAACATTGTATATTACTTATCATATTTTTCCTAAAACCACAGAGTGCATAAAGAACCCAGCAAGAAGAAAAATCACTAACCGGGTTTCTTGGACGTGAGAGCGAGGCGCTTTCTCCTCACAAGCGAATTAAGAAGAGAAGATTTACCCACATTAGACCTCCCCACAAGCGCAAACTCGGGCAACCCGTCGTTAGGACAATCCTCAGTCCTGACGCTGCTCTTCACGAAATCAGCCTCCACGACCTGCGCATCCCTCGCATAATTGCTCAGAACTATGTTCGACCCTTTCAGTATTCTCGTCTTCAGATGCTGCTCGTCGAAAGAGAACACTGTCTCTGGTGGGACGAACAGCTCGTCCAGTGAAAAATCCATGGGGCTCTCATGAGGGTCGTTCTCTGGTAGATGGGAAATAGGTATTGGCTCTGTAGTGGTGATAGTTGATTTGGGTCTGAACAAGAAGGTGATGGGTTTGGGTTTTGGAAGGAGATTGAAATGGGTGGGGAGATACAGTGGTTGTTTTTTCAAGATTGACAAGTGCAATCTTGGAAGCTGAGCTAACACCATATCTCTCTTGCTGTGTATCTATAATATATTCTCTCACTAGATTTTGCGACCCGCCATGCCAAGAGCTTCAGAGATCAGTTTGAGGGAAAGATCTTTAACTTAGCAGCAACGGCGAAGGCAGAGAGGGTAAAAAGAAAATATCGTTAGCAAAACGCACCGTTTCCATAATAACACCATTTTCCAAAAATTAAGCGTCATGAGTAAGAGGTTGGAAGGTTCAGTTAAATGCAATTTTGCATACAACGCATTTAATTATAAAATTTTAGTAATAATTAAAATAGCTTATTGTAATTAATAATATTTTAATTGTATGAAAAATGTATTTCAGTAATTAATATATACTTTTTATATTGTACATTAAATTATAAGATATTCAATAATAATTATAATAAATTTTGTAACTAATAGTATTTTAATTATAAGGAATAATGTGTATTTAAATTTGGTCATTATATTTGGTCATTTACATATGTATTATATATAATATTTTTAATTATAAGATGTTTAGTAATTATAAGAATAATTTTTTATAATAATAATCTTTTAATATATATGATATAATTTTTTGTTTATTTTATTAAAAACATAGATTCAAATTTATGGTTGACTGTATATACATCGTATATCATATTTTCATTTGTTATATTGTAATTAATTTGATTTTAATTCATACCTTATAAAACAAGAACTTTATGACACATATATGTAGGTGATTTTATATTCAATAAATTAATTTTTTAAATATAGTTTACCTAAAAAATTTAAGAATAAAATAAA